CTGAACCTGTTATTGTCCAGATGTTTCCTTCGTCTTTAGAAAAATGTCAGTCAAAGCTTCTAATTAAGCAGTGTGTCTATGAGGGATGATGCACAGCAAAGGCTGGCTTTGGGAATCAAACCCGCGACCATGAGGCCTTTCAACACGGGTTTGAACGCTCCTCCCCTGGGCCGCCACCTCACCTGCAGACGACATTTTGGTCCAAAAACAGGAGAAAGGGGCAAAACGGCTAAAACCCAGAATTCATGGTCTTTGTTAATGAATGAATGAATGAATGAATGAATGGATGGATGAATGAATGAATGAATGAATGAATGAATGAATGAATGAATGAATGAATGAATGGATGAATGAATGAATGAATGAATGGGAAGCTAGCAAGAGAGACTAGTTATCATCAAACCAAACACCAATTTCCAAACTAACGAATTTCACCTGAACATCAATAGAAACCAAACCGTCCACCAGATAAACCAGTCGGTAGAAACAGCCAGAGAAAAGACATCCATGATGCAAATGATCCACCCCCCCACTGCACTTAAATTAAGTTAAAGTAGAAGAACCTTCCTGTTAAACTTCTATGGTTTGGTCCTTTTGAAGAATTGCTTTGTGAAATAGAGATGAATCTGTAACGAAGCGCTGTCTGTCTTCATGTGTCTTAGCGGTAGAAAAAGCTCTTTTTTCATTTGGTATCTCCTAAAGTTCCTCTGCGTTTATGTTGATGTGTAATGAAAGGGAACAGACACCATCTGGTGTTTAGCTGGGGTTCGTTCTTCCTCCCAGAAACTATTAGGAAAAGGCACGTAGATCTAGAGCTCACAAACACTGCAAAGTCCTCCACTGTTTGCAGCCTCCATTAGAAAATCTTAACAAAATATGACCTTCTTTGGTATCTCAGCCCACTTTAACCCAAAGATGAAAGATGCCCAAGATCAGTAGAATGGTGCCTTTTACCTTAGAGCTGCTGTCAGTGTGATGGGTGTTAAGTTAGAGTCCGATGCAGGAAGTGGAAGAAAAAAGGCACAGAATGAGTCAGATAGATGTGTGTGGGTGTGCATGGAATGCCTATTTGACAAAGAGATTGGGGAGGGTTATTAGAAAGGCACAGTCCTTATTTAAAGAAGTTCAATGCACTCAGCTGAAGAAAAGCTCTCATTGAAATTCATGGCTGAGCACCTATAGCTCTGTGCTTTAAACAGACCAGTGAGAGACACAGGCAGCGTCTGACAGACTTCAATTAAAATGGAATTTACAAGAGATGGAAAGCAAAGAGGCAGGAGGTTTCCTTTTTATCTGGGGAGGTTTTTGTTCCTCTAAATGCAGTGATGGTTAGTACCATTAAATATCCTGAAACCTCGACTGGGGTCCTGAAAAGTCACCTTTGTTGTTGCCCCATTTTCTCAAGAATCAAATGCAGCTAATAGCAAAGATCTCAGACAGCCTGAAAACAGACAGAACTTCCTACAGTTCAGTCTTCAGTGCAGTGCAAAAAAAAATGGTGCAAAATGCAGTAGAAACATTGAGTTGTGTTCTATTTCAAACGATTATAAAAGTTTCAGCCATATTGGTGGTGCAAAATAATGGCGCATAAGTGTGATGCAGAGTCAGCAGTTCATCAGTGTGATGGCGCCTTTGGGCCCTTTGGACCAGTGAGGTGTTTCCAGTCCGCTTGGAAAATCTATGTTGAATAATATATTTAGAAAACCGTTTCTTTGCCTAAATTAGTTTAGATTTTTATGTATATATAGTCTTTAAAATAATAGAATTGACTTTATATGTTTGCATGATTGACTAAAATATTTTAAAAATATTATTAGAATTTAATTACTTAGTTATAGCAACTTTTTTTACTCTTAATACATTTTTTGTTGTTAATTTTTACTTTTCTGTAAGTAAAGATATGTTAAAGTACTTTACGTGAGTCCATGTTGCTCTATCATTTTAGCGTGGAAAGAGTCGGGGTGTGTTCAGGATCTTAATTAATGTTTTAATTTTATTATTTAGCTGCGCAGTGTTAAAATAAGCTGTTATTAGTGAAGAAAATGTTGTTTCCATATTTAGACACGAGTCCAGTCAGTGCAGAAATGTAGGGGACCCTAAAGGGCTTAAAAAGAAAACAGAAATAAATATATATATTTTTTTTTTATTCCCAACCTTTAATTAAATTCTAAACATATTGGCAAACCTTGAGTTCTGCTAATCTGGTTGAGTTACAGCAGAGCAGAGTTTAAATCATCCCAGTTTATGTCTCTAGACTGAACTCAAACACTGATCCAGTCTTTAGATGTGGTTTCTAATCACATTCGGCTCTTCTGGTGTTTCTGAAATCAAACACTAAAGGGGAGACAGTGAAGGCAGCACAGACACCTGGATGGTTTTACAGGTGGAAGCCATAGACCTCTTTATAAACCTGAGAAACAACATGATGTCAGCTAATACTGACTCCTGCAGAACAGAGAAATATAGAATAAAGACTGATATGACATTCAATGTTAGCAAGTATTTGTCTAGTTTAGTTAGATCATCTCCTGTCCTTGTGGATCTAAGCCGATATCTGATGTTTTTCTAGGTGTTAAACTCTGGAAGGTTGTTGTTCACCTCAGTGCTTATCGTCATATTTGCGCCACGCTTAAATAAAGCTGTGAAATCTCTGCTGGTCTCTGCCGAGGCGATCGGCCCGTTCCGCATCAGATCACTCCTCGCCAGCCAGGAGGAGCTAAGAGGAGGCGAAGTTATTCTCCTCCATCTCTCGCCATGTCTGTCAGTCTTCCTCCTCTACATTCTTGTCTTTCTCCATCTTTGTCTTTCACCTCATTTCTCTGGGTTTTTTTCTGGGTCTCCTTCTCAGCCAGAGATTCTGGGCTTTTGGGTGGAACTTTAAGAGTCAGGTTGTAAAAACAAGGCTTTGATATGCTTGGATTTCATCTGTGCTCCTGAGAGACTGAGAGGGATGCAAGTTAAGGTAGATAAT